GTTTCAATCCTAGCCTTTTCATAAGCGTATCTCCTAAGGGACCTGCACACTTTTCTTTCTCCATCTGATCCAACTCTTGCAAAGTTCGCTCGTAATCCTCTTTGCCGATTCTGTGATGTTTCATTGCCAAGATGATATCAAATCGAAAATGCTGGCAGTTTAAACCCTTTTCCAGAGGAGAATCTTGTATTCTCAAATCGGACATATCATTCTGGTTACTGGAATAGAAGATAGTGGGAATAAGTGAATTTGTCTCATCGTCTCCTCCAATGAATTCCGGTGAGCAAGAGTTAGGTGATGTACGTGCTGGAACAGTAGCCTCAGAATCGTTTCGAGGCGGGGGAGGCACTTGTGTGATCCCAAAGGGTCTTATTTCATCTTCCAGCATAGGATTCACCATCGAATTCTCAGTCAAACTATTAAAACTGCTGTCGCCATGACTAACGTCTAATGTCTCTCCTGGAACAATGTCCTCCCGATTTTGAATTATTTCACCTATAGTACCTGTAGACGAGCCACTTATATCCAACATTGCCGCTGGAAAAGCAGGCTGCTGTGGCTGCTGGGTAACCTCGCAGCTTGGGATCTGGTGTGTCTGTATAACCCCTGACGCATGGTGGGAACTTTGCATATCACATGCAGTTTGAGTGGTATAGGTTGGGATGAACGGGCCACCATACTGCGCGGAATTCTCGTAGACTTGTCGCTGAATTGCCTGTGGCTGCTGTTGTATGGGTTGATTGAGATGTTGTTGGATTGTCTGATTCTGCTGCTGTTGTTGCGACTGTGGCTGTGTTTGCTGCTGCTGCTGCTGTGATTGATGTTCCGTTTGTTGTTGCTGCTGCTGTGCATAAGGCGAGCGCTGAGGATAGTTCGAATGGGAATACGAATCCTGAGAGAACGGTGATTGCTGCTGGTAGGACGGTATTGAATAAGACTGCTGCACATAGCTATATGGTTGTGAAAATGCAGACACTTTTTGAACTTCGGTAGAACCTTGCGGATACTGAGATTGCTGATGAACTGCGTGCCTGGAGTACTGCGACGATTGAGAACCGATAAAGGCCACTTGTTGATTATTAGTGTTAATCTGACTGAACTGTGATTGCTGATTATATGGTTGCTGCTGCACATATTGTCCTTGTTGATAAACACTCATGGAACTCGTTTCCGACCATTGGTAAGATGGAATAGCAGACTGTGAGTACATTTCAGAGGCCGTAGCCATATTTTGACCCTGTGGATATGGAACTGCAACATTTTCTGGCTGCGCAAACGGAGCAGGGGTCATCATGTCGCGGGAGTGAGGATACAACTGAGAAGTCTGCTCGTATGAACTTTGATTCATCACTTCACACGATTGGGGTACAGGTGTTACAAGCTGCCTATTTTGCATCGATGGATAGGGAGTTTTCAACTGACG